AAAAGAAGGAAAAGAAAGAAAACTGCCACTTCCCTAAGGTCAACAAAGCAATTTAATAAGTAAATGAAGCAAAGGTTCAACGATAATTAATTTAACTAGTTATATAATTAGAAGAAAAGTAATCCACTCAAGCTGCCTAGGAAAGATTTTCTTTATTAAACACACTATTACTGTTCCAGAAGTAGAAGGTAACAGGCCTCTGATTTCATTCCTCACATAAACCATACTCTAAAATATCTAAAAATTTTTAAAAAATGATTAAACTTTCATGCTTCATTTCAAGGACTCTTAGGGAATTTTATGTGCATGTGTGTATAATTTATTTTTCCCATATCTATATATGTTTCTGTAATAAAATTTGTATTTCTAAATATAAATCAGTATATGCAAATATAAGTGAGTTATCATAGTAACTGAGAGATCATCTTTAGACAGCACTGAAAGATTAAAAGTTCTTCACTGTACTAAGGTAAATCTCTCTTCTAAGATCTATCCTTTGGAAACATCAAGAACAAGGACCTCCTATTTTCTCAAATTTTGTTTCTTTCTCTTCAAATCAGAATATTTTCCAATCAATTAAGGGTTTTAATTAGATTAATCTCCATTATAAAGATTTATTTTTCCATTTACATTCTCTGTATGTCTATATACATTACAGTTTAAAGATCAAATTCTGCCTGGGGCACCTGTGTGGCTCAGTTGGTTAAGCGTCTGCCTTTGGCTTGGGTCATGATCCCAGGATCCTGGGATGGAGCCCTGCGTTGGGCTCCCTGATCAGCAGGAAGTCAGCTTGTCCCTCTCCCTCTGTTCCCCTCAACTCATTTTCTCTCTCTCTCTCTCGCTCTAATAAATAAATAAAATCTTGAAAAATAGAACAAGATCAAATTCTGTCTAAAAACTGAGAGTTAGCCAATAAAGAAAGAAAAGGTCACCAAAAGGTTTGGCCACTACTGAATCTTCTAAGATCAATCTATATTACAACTTAAATACCTGTTTCAAAGTGTGGAGATAAGACTGTGTACAATAGAGAGATAGGAAAGATGGGAAGAATACCCACTCAAGCAGTAGCTGAATAGGGAAAAGAAATACAGAGTTAAATTTTCAAAGGAAGAAAAATGTGCCTTGAGAGGCAAGTAGGATAGAAAAAGATCTGGTCAGCAATTCAACATAGATCTAGTAGAGAAATATGTGCCAGAATATAACAAATATGAGCCCAACATAACAAAAGGGAGGGGGAAAACTGATGTCTGCAATGGTAAGAGAAGAAGAAAAAAAATTTAGAACGCATCAGGGCTTCCGCGTGGCCCTGATCCCTCCTACCCTGTCCCCATTACTTTCGTTCTGTCCTCCAGCAATCACTGTTCTCATCTGGTATCCACCTCTTAGTTCTTCTAAGCTGCAGCAGTACTCTTTAATCAAGGACATAGCAGAAGTACTTACTCTTTTGATTTCTAAGTGGTAAGATCTTTAAAAATTTAAGAATAGCAATCACTTTCTGGACTGGCATATGAAGATTCCAGTGCAGAGCAGCAATTTCGTTTTTAAGGTGCAATGCCCCTGATTCCTCAGATGAAAATAAGTTTTTTCCTTTTCTACCTCACTATCCCTTTGCTCTCAAACCCACCTAGGCTGCTACAAAACTATAGTGTCCCCAGCCCGTATAAAGTAAGGAAATCCTAGGGGAAGCCTTTCTTGCTTGAGGCTGTTAACAAACAGCCAGAAAACACCTGCATGATATTTTAATTCTCACCTCTAAATTATTTTATGTGGCTGTGAAGATGCCGGCATCTCCCACTCCTCTGTTTCTAACATCTGATTCTAATCCCTAAACAATTCTGAAATGTGTTGGCTATATTTTCTAATGAGAGTATTTCTTGAAATAATCCTTAAAAATATGACATTTTAATAAAGCATCTGAGGGCTTTGTCAATTTTGGAAACCAATGAGATGTGAAAGATGCTCTTCTAAGAAACTTGGCAGCATTTATTCGTCATAAGAAATAATTCCCCCCTGAATTTCCAGGGAAAGAACCACTCAAAAAAGTAATAAATCCATCGTAAGCCCAAGAAAAAGATCTTTTGTTAACTAGTGGTTGTAGACTATAGTACTATCAGAAGAGCAATACTGTTCTTTGATTGTTAAGGAATACTAAAGGAATTTCCCCAGTAAAAGTAACCTACATTATCATGAAATACAAACAAAAAATTTTAATAACTTGGAAAGCCCAAGAGAAAAGTCAAAGACTCCTCCCCCAAAATATCAAAGTTCTTAACCAAATAATGGAAAATCATTCCCCAGAAAAGTAAAAATATAGAAAAAGCTTTAAGCACACAGATACTTGACCCAACTAAGTATGGCCGAAATTTGGGAGATGCTCTACAGAATGTTAAATATTAAAAATATTCCTGAAGCATTTGTAATAACATTTTTCCATGTTAAATATCAAAAGAAATATAAAGAAGAAAATATGGTATGATCTCAACAAGAAATGCAAAGAAAAAAAGACAGAAGAAAATGTCTTTACAGGATGAGACTGGATGATTTTTTTCTATTTGATTTTTTAAAAAAATAACACCTTTATTAAGATATAATTTTTCTATTTGGTATTTTTTGTTTCTAAAATTTCTGTGATAAGCATATAAATACTTTTATTTTTTTTTTAAAGATTTTATTTATTTATTTGACAGACGGAGACACACAGCAAGAAAGGGAACACATGCAGGGCGAGTGGGAGAGGGAGAAGCAGGCTTCCCACCGAGCAGGGAGCCCGATGCAGGGCTCGATCCCAGGACCCTGGGATCATCACCTGAGCCAAAGGCAGACGCTTAATGACTGAGCCCCCCAGGTGCCCCTAAATACTTTTAATAATAAAAGCTTGGGGCACCTGGCTGGCTCCGTCAGTAGAGCACAACTCTTGATCTTGCAGTTATGAGTTTGAACCCCATGCTGGGTGTAGAGATTACTTTAAACAAATAAAAACAAAATAAAATATAGCCCAAAATTTAAAAAAATAAAAGCTTTAAAAAATAAGTTCAATATGAAATTGGCAGAAAAACCTGGTGAAAACCCAACTGGTTCATTACTTCTTTTATATTAGGTCCTACCTCAAACAGCCTAAGATTTACTGAGCAATTATTATGCACCAAGAATTGCATTAAGTGTTTTATAATATTCTATCCCATTTAATCCTTAGGACAACACAACAAACAGATATTATAATGCAAAGAACCTGAGGAACTTCATACAGTCAGCAAGTGGCAGGACCCGGATCTAAGCTAAACAGTCTGACCTCAGAGCACCTGCACTCACTCTCTATATTGTTATATGACCTCCCAGTTTACTTTTTGGTTTCTACCATATCACCTATTATTTCTAGACAAACATATTTGTATTTTATGTATTTGTTTTTAATGTTGGTTGGTAGGTATTTTTTATAAGAGCTTATGAAATATAATTCACAATACCATACCATTCACCCATTTAAAGTGTAAAACTTTTGCTTTTTTAATGATTATTGAACAGAGTTGTACAACCATTACAATTTTAAAGAATTTTTTTTTTAATTTATTCATTTGAGACACAGAGATACAGAGAGAGAGAGTGCATGAGCAGGCGGAGAGGCAGAGGGAGAGGGAGAAGCAGGTTCCCCGCTGAGCCAGGAGCCAGACATGGGGCTCAATCCGAGGACCCTGGGATCATGACCCAAGCTGAAGGCAGACGCTTAACCATCTAAGCCACCCAGGCACCCCATTACAGTTAATTTTAGAAGCACACTAAAAAAAATCCCTCACTTATTAGCAGTCACTCCATTTCCACCCAAGCCTCCCAGCAACAGGTCACCACCAATCTATAAAGTGTCTCTTCAGGTTTGCCTATTCTGGACATTTACGGGGGAATCATATGCATTCTTTTGCATCTGAGTTCTTTCACTTAGCGTAATGTTCTCAAGGTTCCCCCATGCTGTGGCATGTATCAGTACTCCCTTTTTATGGCTGGATAATATTCCACTGTAGGATACACTACATTTTATTTATCCATTCACCAGTTGATAAACTTCTAGGTTGTTTCCAAATTTTATGAACCATGCTGCTATGAACATTTGTGTACAAGTTTTGGTTTTTTTTTAAGATTTATTTATTTTAAAGATTTTATTTACTTATTTGAGAGAGAGAGTGTGAGAAAGAGCACAAGCAGGGAGGAGGGAAAGAGGCAGAAGCAGGCTCCCCACTGAGCAGGGAGCCCCACATGAAGCTCAATCCCAGGACTCTCAGACTATGACCTGAGCTGAAGGCAGACGCTTAACTGACTGAGCCACCCAGGCGCCCCTACATTTACTTATTTCAGAGACAGAGACAGCATGCACGAGCAGGGGTTAGGGAAGAGGGAGAGAGAGAGTGAGGGAGAGAATCTCAAGCGCCGGAGCCCAATACTGGGCTCAATCCCGACCCATGAGATCATGACCTGAGCTGAAACCAAGAGTCAGACACTCAACCAACTGAGCCACCCATGTGCCCATGTGTACAGGTTTTTATAAGAACATATGTTTTCAATTCTCTTGGGTACATACCTTGGAGAAGAAGTGCTGAGTCATATGGTAACCCTATGTTCAGCCTTTCTGAGAAACTGCCAGACCTAAGTGGCTGCACCACTTTACATTCCTATCAGCAATATGTTAAGGATTCCAATGTCTCCACATCCTCTCCAACACTTAGCAGTCTTTTTTAATTTTAGTCATCCTAGTACGTATAAAGTAGTATCTCACTGGAATTCTTAATTTGCATTTCCCTATTGAACAGGGAATAATGATGGGCATCTTTTTCAGGTGCTTAGTGGCTAGTTGTATATCTTCTTTGGAGAACTCTCTATTTAGATCCTTTGCTCATTTTTAAAATTGAGTTATCTTTTTATTACTGAGCCACAAGAATTCTGTATATATTCTAAATACAAGTGCTTTATCAAATAACATGATTTGCAAATATCTTCTATTTTATTGGTTATATTTTCACTTTTTTGGTAGTGTCCTTTGAAGCACAAAAGTTTTTAATTTTGACAAAATCCAATTTATCTATTTTTTCTTTGTACTTTTGGTGTCATGCCTAACCAACCACAGCCTAATCCAACCCCACATTTATGCCTGTGTTTTCATCTACGAGCTTTTAGTATTAGCTCTTACATTTAGGTCTTTGATCCATTTTAAGTTACTTTTGTACATGGTGTGAGGTAGGTGGATGTATTTTTTTAACTCATGTTTTAAAGGCTAGAATTGGCATTACCCATTTACTCCTATCTCTCCATCATTCCCCTCTCATCAATCATCAGCTAACACAGATTTTAAAAACTCAGAATCTGAAGTCAAAATGCCTGGGTTAGAGTACTAGCTCTGTCTCCTACGACCTAGAATAAGATTCCTAAATTCTCTGGGCCTTAATTTCCTTGTCTGTAAAACAAAGACAGTAACAAACCCAACGTCCAAAATGAGGACTAAGTGCTAATAATACATACAAATGCTGAGTAGAGTGTTTGCCATATCGTAAGCACTTAATAGACTCCAACTATTAATTACTGCTTTCTAAATATCACTCAGGTTTGGCCATTCTCTCTAGCACCATAGCTTCTACCTTAGTTTAGGTCACCGTCATTTCTTACTTGGATTATAAACCCTATTCTTCTTTTTGTTAATATTTTATTTATCTATCTATTTATCCATCCATCCATCCGAGAGAGTGAGCGAGAGTACAAGCAGGAGGAGCAGCAGAGGGAGAGGGAGAAGCAGGCTCTCTACTGATAAGGGAGCCCGATGCGGGGCTCGATCCCAGGACCCTAAGATCATGACCTGAGTCGAAGGCAGACACTTAACCGACTGAGCCAGCCAGGTGTCCCTATAAACCCTATTCTTAAATGGTTTTCCTCCCTCTAATCTTGTCCTCTTCCAAATTCATTCTCTACTCTGAACTCATAATAACCACTATTAAAATCAATCCCCTGCATTTAAAAAAAAATAGTTCTCTGGTGCTAGGACAAAGTCCAAACTTCTTAACAACTGAGACATGAAGACTTTTAGGTTTGGCTGCTCTTTAACTCCAGCCTAATCTCTTACTATTATTCCTACCTGGAGGCATGATTTCTTCCACCTCTAGAAGACTGGCTAAATCAGCTTTCAGGGATCCGCTTAGACACCACTTTCTCTGACAAGCCTTTATAGATGGCTCCAGAGCCAGTCCAAGGATAATACCCCTTCTATATCAGTGTAAACTCTCCCAAACACTACCAACACATTCATTACACTGTGTAATAATTTTTTTACTTATATCTAGCTGAGACTTGGTGGGGGGCAAGCCCCAATATGTATCACTACATCCCCCTAATGAGTACTACAGTATGAGCCATACAGTAGATATTTAATAAATGTTGCATGGATGGAGGAATGACCTCAAAAGTACACAATCTCAAA